GCGGTGACGGTGGATTCATCTTTACTACTATTTGTAGTGGAGTGTTTGTAGGATGTGTTGAGAAGCTCAGCGAAGGAGTACAAGGTATTCGAAAGTATTGCCAATGGCTTCTTCAGCAGTAGTTGAGTACTGTGCGAACTCTTCTTCAATATTCGGTGACGTTGGGTGTGACTTTTCGAACATGGTAGCGAGTTCATCTAGTGCGTGTTGAATCTTTGTGGTCATGTTTTCTAACGCTGCCACTGCTTCCTCTAACTGCTGTAGGCTTGTTTGAATAACGGTGGGCGTTATCTCATCTTGCAGGTTTTGAACACTGATTTCTTCTAACTGCGCGTCTTTGAATCGGGTTAGAGCTTTTTGCAATTGGTTAGTATACCGCGTGAGTATCCGTTTGTGACTTGCCAGTGATTTGTACATGATTGAAGAATTAACGTACTTGGTTGTAACTCCCTTGACCTGATGGATCCTTTCAAGCGGCCAATGCACCAAAATTATGGTGGGAGGGCTAGATTATATAGGAATACCAAGTAGTTAAGATGATTCGGTCGGAATTTGCTGCTCGCCTTTGTGTATGCCACGCGGGACTTCTTGTAAGCAGTAGTCACAATGCCGGAAACCTCAAACTTGGGTAATTAAACCGTTTATCATAATTATACAACAATTATGGTATAATAATACAACTGTACAATTAATAGAACAATGATACAAGTAATGAATAGGCGCAGCCTGATTTCTTGTGTTCAGGTTGCTCTAGAGTGAAGAGGTTGTCATAAGACTTCGACAACATGAGATCGATGTGAGGAAAGGATATGGTGATTTAGGCAGCATTGCTGTGACCTGAGCTAGTCAGCCGTGGAGTCGTTTATATACCGTTTGGGTTGGGCGGAGTCAGGCTACAATAGGCGGAGTCGCGTTACAGTAGGTGGAGTGGAGTTACAGTAGGTGGAGTCAGGCTACAGTATGCGGAAGGACGGCTGCCGGAAACATTTCACAAGCGTCGCAATCTGATAAGGCGATATTCAAAGCATAGGACTGTAACTGCAGATGTTTTTCATGAGATAGCCGCCAACGAAATGTTAGCCGTGTGGTTATCGGATCGTCATAAGGTCACCGGAAGCCGTATTCGAAAATGTTTGACATAAGGTTATCAGATCGTCATAGAGAAAAGGTCACCGGAAGCAGTATTTGAAATGTTTGACATAAGATTATAATTGATTTACATAGAGAACATTCCAATATTCGTAAAGAATGTTCTCTATATCAGGTTCAAGAAACCACAGCCAAACGATCTACACATATAACAGAAGTCAAAATGCGGTTGATAATGCACCAAGAAAATCTAGAGTCACTGCACTTGGGACATGACAATACCTGAAAGTGCGCGCTCACTATTAGAACTGGGACCAAGTTTTCATCACCACAACCCTTTTCAAAAGCAACATAGCGTAGACTCACACGCAGCCTGTATGAACCAAATTCAACATCGACTCCCCTATCAGGCAAAACAAGGAACACCAAATCACCTGTATCGCCTGTAGTCCCGTTGATCGTTGAGTTACTCGCTCGGGCGCCAGTAAATCTTCTATTTCCCCTGTCACGTGCAAGAGTAGCCCAGTGGGTTCCGCTCGCCCTAGGGACTCGTCGAGCATCATGTCTTTCTTCTAGGCGTTTCGTGAAGAACTTTGACCATGGGGTAGATGGTCTTCCCGCAGTGTTTTTGACATCCCAAGGAATCCAGTCACTAACGGCTCCTACCCATCAGTTGTCCTTCACACGCATTACGTGTATGGTCCAACTTATCTTCGACTGTTTGGGGTACAGAACGGTATCTTCGATTTTTGATCGTTGACGCAGGACGGAGCTTCGGCATCCTTCTCTTAGTTGCGTGAAACTGGATAGCCCTTGCAACGCCCTTTCGACTGCGCGTTCAATAACGCTGAGTGATTTTTCATCCTTTACGCACCGACCAGGCTTCTGACGCATATGTTAACGCAGTAAGTACCGTTAAGTCAAAAAGGCGGAAACGGAGTCAGGTGTTTTTTGTTCTGTTAGCTACACTCTCGGTGCTCTTAAAGGCTCTCTCTGCTGAGCTCTGGAGTTAAGTAGTTCAACGTGTTGATTTCCCGACCTAGATAGTCATAACAGGAGCTTTCAGACATACTCGTCCCGTTGAGCGCGAATGGGGCATGCGAAACCATTCCGCTTTTCATGAACATCGTTTTTGTGAGTTTTAGTCGACGATCAATCTTCCCGCGGGCTCTATCAAAGTCGTCAAGAATATGTTCCGCTAGGCTAATGTTTGGTGCTACAAGGGCGATATTGTCTGCAAAGCGAACATGGTGTTACTGTCGACCATCGGTTTTCACTCCCATATTATCCCGTTCTAATTTTCGCATGACCTTCTGGAGGGTGGTGGTAAATAATTTTAGCAAGATGGTATCACCTTGTCTAACCCCTCTTTTGACGTCAATGTTAATATCGTTGTAGAATAGTGTTAGTCTTCCCTACGGTTTACCCCATCGTGGTTGGGAGCTGTTCCTGGGTGCCGGACTGAGATATGTACCGAGGGAATTCGTTACCCCGGCAGGATCTCCCAAGCTGGAAACGAGCCCGGCGCTTCCATCACTAGTGAGGACGGGCCGTTCAAGTGTTAAGTGCCAAGCAGTGTTATAAACATCAATGATGCTGAGATATTTGCAAAACTCCGGACCGCAGGTATATGCTGTGGGGAACGAATGCACTATTGTACTTTACGGGGAGTAACCACCCCGTCACCACCACACCATGCGGGTCCTTCGTTTCGTCTGCCTCTCAGCTAGTACTATCGATCTATTGCCATCAGCAATCACCCGTCAGCGGGATCGATCTGGGGTGCCCTGCGGTCCGGAGTTTTGCAATTATCTCAGCATCATTGATGTTCATAATACTGCTTGGCACTTAACACTTGAACGGCCCGTCCTCACTAGTTGTGTGGGCCCCAGCATAATCACCATTCTTCGTTGATTAGCTAATTAAGCCATTGTCGTTCCCTGGAATCCCGACAGCCTGGCCAAAATCTGTTCCAGGTCTTTACTACCACAGGCAGTCGGAGCGGTTGTGGATTAGAGAGAGATTTGCCACCATACGAGTTTGATATCAGAACGGTGGTGGATCCTAGCATTGGTAATACCGTAATATTGCAGATGCATTATTCAAATTAACCAAGGAGCAAAGTGTGTTTGAAATGGCACAGCTCCAATCTCACTTTAAAAAGAAAATGACTGGGTGAAATCAAAAATCGAAATAAGATTATGGATTATTTCAGTTCTGCTTGAATTCATTGACCTAACACCTGTGAGCTCTGCTAAGCCTCCGGTTGCAAATATATTAATGCGTTTATAATAGCTAATACTTAACTGTGTACATAGAATTACACTATTTTCAGGAAACCAACACCCTATGTCAGCGCAACCAAAGACTAAAAAGTACAATTGAAGTTCAAAATGGAGCTAAAAAACTAGAGAAATGTCAAATTAAACCTAATTATTGTTTAAAACACTTCTTAGTAAAATACCCAATACAATATGTATATATATATATATATAATATAAAATTCATTCGAGTGATTTACAAACGCAGTGGATTGCTAGTAGAGCTCATTCTTCCTAGAATCCTCGAACGGTTTCACGACAGCGTCACCGGGTATTCACCAGAAGCCGTCGTCAGCCTCGGTTGATCACAGAGGATTTTCCTAAACAAGTTTAACAATTTGAGCAGCGAGTAGGATGGCGGCCTTTTTGACCCAGCATGAGATCAAACCACTGCACTGCACGTGTTGCCGACAAGGACCTCTAGCCACTTTGCTTCTTGCGACCCCATATTGTGATGAACGAGAAAATAAGCTGGTTGTAACATCGGCAAAATAACACTGATATATAAATACGTTATACTGAAAATATTTGTCATGTGCGTAAAGTAGCGCTAAAAATTAAGTGCACGTTTAAAGAAGGAAACAAATAAAACGTTAGAAATGTTTCGACGACAGGTTTCTGAAAAGGCGTCCGTTTTGTTGAAAAACTTCTGGTCCCGTTATCTACACGGGAAATGCAGTAGCGTAGGTCCAAAGCAAAGAATTACTGAAAAGTGAAAAGCTTTGGGCATGGTCATCCAGCTCATGAAGGGTGGCTGAAAAAATATTCGCACTTACCGTTCGATTTGCTTATTGAGAGCTCTCTTTAAGCTTCTCTGGAAGTCTATCTGATCGCTCGTATTGAAAGCTATGCATACGAGACACGAGAATTTGCTTAAAGAGGTTTATAGCGGTGACAGTGCTACATGTACCACATCCAAGCCATGTGGGAAAGCAAGACTCTGGAGCGAGTGTCACATTTCTTTTGTCATAATAGTTGTCGACTAGGAAAAAAGGTTTGATAGCGCCAAAAGAAGTAATGCTTTCAGAAATCGCCGATCAAGGAGTGGAATAATTCGATATATGAACTATTGTTGACTAAATCCTTATTCTTCGTCTTCTTGTTTAGCAAACGCGTGGTGTTACTTTTATTCTTTATTCACGAATAAGCTGACGTTTCGGCGGACTTCGCCTTCCTCAGAGCCTGGAAAGGTCAAGTTGACAGCAACCTATTCGGCCAAACACCTCCATAACCAAGCAGAGAAAACGCTAAGCCAAGATTTCAAAAAAAAAAAAAACAGCTCGCGCTTGCTCAACAAGAATACGAAGAATTACTTAATCAATGCCGAGGTTAATAGAAAGTCGGTCGTGGGAGTTACTGCAAGATAAACCCCTATTGCATTGCAAACATACAACTTTCTCATCGATCAACTGCCATCCCGACAAGAAAAGCGGTTCGATAATGCGACAAGTCTCGCAAAATCTGTTCACAGTAACCATAAAGTGAATAATGGCGTTTGTCATTTTGAACGAATATATACGAGGAAAAAAATCTTATGAAAGCGCTTTTCTGATGACATTTTCGTCTTTTCGAAGAGTACCACTGAAGCAAAGAAGATATTCAAGTTGTTCACTCAACAAACCAGAAAATAAATTCGTGAACGACTGCGTCTTCTAAACGAGCGAAATCGACCGCCAAAAACAGAAAACAGTAATCCATTTGAACAGATGCTGTTTACAGGTTACTACAAATCATTCCCGATACCAGCAGAAAACTGGTTTACTACTGGGATAACTGTAAAGAAATGAAAGAAGATTCCCTATTAACCTGCTCGGGTAACTGAAAGTGGTGTTTTGATAAACTATCAGATTCGTATTCAATTCGCTTGGTTGACCGTGAAGAGATTACAGATTTCACTTCTGACTTCTGGTAATGAAAGACCAGTGGAATAGAATCAAGAGGCTTTCCAGCTTACAGTTAACAACAAGCGCTCAAAATTCCTCTTTCTCAAAGCTTTGATGCTTTCGA